TTGAATCACTCCTGCTATCAGATGCTATCATATGAGATTAGATCACAATAGATTGTATTTCCACTAATTTTGGGTTACTCAAAATATTTGTATAGAAAGGGGTCTGGAAGAAATATTTGACTAGGCCCCTCACGCCCTAAAAGTGATCCCATCTCAAATATTTCAGAGTCGTCAAAAACCTCACGAAAGAGACTTTGGAGTGCCTGATGGCCCAGAGAACTTCATAGAGGGTATGGACTTTGCCTTGGGCTTTTACATGTGCCACCTCTGGGGGCCACTGACAAGGTGATGAGTAATATATTACCTGAGTATCCATTGAATCATGGGACTGAAGCCTTCTATACCTAAACACCTTATGCTGTGAGGTGGGGTGTAGTTAATGATGCTCTCGCCGGATCACTAGGCGCTTCCCAGGAGGCACTGGGCTTCCCTCTGGCTCAGCTGGTAAAGAATCCGCCTGCAATGTGCGAGACCTGGGTTGAGTCCCTGGGTTGGGAAGACCCTCTGGAGAAGGGAAAGGCTACCCACTCCAGTATTCTGGCCTGGAGAATTCCATGGACTGTACAGAGGCGGACACGACTGAGCAACTTAAACTTTCATGGGCTTAGTTGTTCCACGGCATTGGGATGTTCCTGGACCAGGGATAGAACCTGTATTTCTGCATTGTCTGCTTTACAGGTGGATTCTTCACCAATGAGCCACCAGGGAAGCCCCTGGAAGTGTTTCAAGGTCTCTAGTAATTAGAGTTACTTAGGAGTGGCCCCAACATTCCAGTCTTACTTTTGGGGATGAACTCTAGGGATTTTCACGGAAAGTAGCTGGATGTTTATGGATGCAACAATTTTGCCTCGGTCATTATATCTATTAGCATTTAGTTGTATGTAAGAGAAACTTAAATCAGCTTAAAGAACTGAAAGGAATTTATTGGCAGAGAAATCCAGATTTAGGGAGAATTTTATGCGAGAACTGATCCAGAAGCTCAACAATGTCACCCATGTCATTCACTCTGCTCTGCCTTGCACTGTGTCAGCTTCTTNTCCGTACATAACTACTGGAAAAACCATAGCCTTGACTAGACATCAATATAAAATTATTAAGTAGATATATTATTTTCTTTTTTGCACTATGTTTTCAAAATCTTGTGCATAATTTATACTCAGAGCTCTTAATTTGGACCAGCCATATTTCAAGTATTCAATAGCTATATGTGATAAATGAATAAAACACAGATCTAGATGAATAGATATTCCTAAAGTCCACATGGCCATGGGAGCCCACTGATACCCAGGAAAAACTGAAACAGACTCTCACCAGATTTATATAATCATTCATAGAGTAAACGAGTTCATTAGAAGGTTTGGCTAAGGTTACCCTACGGTTAGCAGGTCAGATGGTTGGAGAGATGAACCTTAGATTTATAGGACTCCTGGATCAGTGCTATGAAAGAATGTTTTTCTCATCTATAAATGTTTTTATTTGGGCTTAAAAGTGCACATAAGTAGACTTTTGTTCCTGCTTGAGAGTATAGCCCATGCCGCTTAAAACTAATTTTGCCTACTGTGACTTATGTGTCATTTTCTATTGGCATTTTCAAACATGATGTAGCAACAGTTCTTTATCAGATTTCTTTAAAGGATATTAGATTTTGAACTGATCAGAGTATTTCCAAGCCCCTCATGCCTTTTACTTTTAGAATTGTATTTGTGAGAAGAAAAGTCTACTATTTTTTTTCTGGATCTAGTTTGGACTCTCAAAATTCCTCTAGAGCTCTCTTTGTTTCTCTTCCAGAGCATTAAACTTTTAAAAATGTTCTTTTCTCTAATTAAAATGTAAAAAATTTAAATCATAATTTATATGTTCTCTCCTCAGAAGAATAAAAGGCCTGATTTATCCAACCACATAATGGTTGAGAATATCTCATTGTTTATGAAATATGTCTACTCATCAATCTCTGTGTCCCCATCTAGACTGATGAAGAATTTTGTGACTTTTAAGTGAAATACTATTCATTTCCATTTATATTTCCAGAGAGCAATTTTATTGTTAATTGCATATGGTGAATAGTAATTTATGGATGTACAGTAGGGCAAGGATACCAATGAGAAAAATAAAATGAAAATATTCACTCATTCTGCATAGTGGAAATTTCCACATTTGAAAATATGCCCTAAGAGTACTTTAGTCAACAAGTAGATGATTTCCCTAATGATACCAATAATGAAAATCATTCACAATATAAAGTTCTCTAAGTTTTAATTGCTTATGTGCATAATTGAATAAAGTTAATTTCATTCCTCTAACTCTGAATCCCTGAGTAAGATCTAGATAGCAATCGATATGTTTTCAATTAAAGATGACTTTCTTGTAATTATCCAGTTCAGTAACAGAATAACTAGGCTATAAGATTAACTTATTTATGACAATGTTCCAGAACTAATAATATTGAGTAGTTAAATTATTTTCTAAAATAAATTATGAAAAACAATTACAGCAAAATTATCTTTAATGGTACATACTTACTGATATATTGGTGAATGTTTTTGTGTGGTCTTTGTAAGAGTATTAGCTTAAATCTCTCTACCTAATCTTGAGCTTAAATGGAATTTAAATCTCTTAACTAAAAGCATATGTATACCTTAACCCACTTAAAAATAACGAGCATTTTTCATTTACCTTGACTTAATGCTTTCCACACAGTGAACAGCAGAGGGAAAACAGAGCCCAGGTTTAAGTTTTCATTTTTCAATTAAAACAGATAATCTATGAACAATGATATGTTCAGTTCAGTTCAGTTCAGTCGCTCAGTCATGTCCGACTCTTTGCGACCCCATGAATCACAGCGTGCCAGGCCTCCCTGTCCATCACCAACTCCCGGAGTTTACTCAAACTCATGCCCATCGAGTTGGTGATGCCATCCAGCCATCTCATCCTCTGTCGTCCCCTTCTCCTCCTGCCCCTAATTCCTCCCAGCATCAGGGTCTTTTCAAATGAGTCAGCTCTTCTCATCAGGTGGCCAAAGTATTGGAGTTTCAGCTTCAGCATCAGTGCTCCCAATGAATAGTCAGGACTGATCTCCTTTAGGATGGACTGGTTGGATCTCCTTGCAGTCCAAGGGACTCTCAAGAGTCTTCTCCAACACCACAGTTGAAAAGCATCAATTTTTTCAGTGCTCAGCTTTCTTCACAGTCCAACTCTCACATCCATACATGACCACTGGAAAAACCATAGCCTTGACCAGACGGACCTTTGTTGGCAAAGTAATGTCTCTGCTTTTTAATATGCTATCTAGGTTGGTCATAATTTTCCTTCCAAGGAGTAAGCATCTTTTAATTTCATGGCTGCAGTCACCATCTGCATTGATTTTGGAGGCCAAAAAAATAAAGTCTGACACTGTTTCCACTGTCTCCTCATCTATTTCCCATGAAGTGATGAGACCAGATGACATGATCTTAGTTTTCTGAATGTTGAGCTTTAAGCCAACTTTTTCACTCTCCGTTTTCANGGCATATTGAGTGCAGCACTTTCACAGCATCATCTTTCAGGATTTGAAATAGCTCAACTGGAATTCCATCACATCCACTAGCTTTGTTCGTAGTGATGCTTTCTAAGGCCCACTTGAGTTCACATTCCAGGATGTCTGACTCTAGGTGATTGATCACACCATTGTGATTGTCTGGCTCATGAAGATCTTTTTTGTACAGCTCTTCTGTGTATTCTTGCTACCTCTTCTTAATATCTTCTGCTTCTATTAGGTCCATGCCATTTCTGTCCTTTATCGAACCCATCTTTGCCTGAAATGTTCCCTTGGTATCTCTAATTTTCTTGAAGAGATCTCTAATTTTTCCAATTCTGTTGTTTTCCTCTATTTCTTTGCATCGATCTCTGAGGAAGGCTTTCTTATCTCTCCTGGCTATTCTTTGAAACTCTGCATTCAAATAGGAAGATCTTTCCTTTTCTCCTTTGCTTTTCACTTCTCTTTTCACAGCTTCTTGTAAGGCCTCCTCAGACAACCATTTTGCCTTTTTGCATTTCTTTTCCATGGGGATGGTCTTGATCCCTGTTGCTAAGTAATTGCTTTGTAAAATTGTTCAATGCCCAACACACTGACATTCTCCTCTTATTCCAAAGTTATATAAATATATCATATATATCCTAAAGCCAAATGAAACTGACACTACATCAAATAGTTTATGAACTGCTTGGTAAAAACAATTCTTACTAGGCTCTTTTGAAGAAAGATTTAGAATTTTTTTCAGGTATTTGATTAAAATTACAAAACAAAGCAAAGCCTTCCAGAACATAGTAAGCTCTGAAAGTCAGGTTTGTACTGAAGGATATAGGAGTCAGCCAGGTGAGCAGAGGAGTGTTCTAGAGCAAAAGAGAAAAAGTTTTAACTTAGCAAATATCTCTCCATTCTCTCAATTTGGAACAGAAGACATACACTTGAGTTTCTGTGCATTGGGCTATCATTTATTCCATCATACATTTAAAATTTCAAATATTTCAAACAGTGAAAAAAACCTCACACGCTGCACAGTTTTTTTTTTCATTTTTCATAAGAAAAGTAGAAAAACAAATCTCGAAGCTTGCAGACTATATATTTAAGTGTTTCTCAGTGTACAGGCCACATGTATTAGTTGCTACTAGTTGTGATTGAATGGCCTACCTTTTTTTTTTTATAGGTACTTTTCCCCCTCATTCTCTCCGTGTGTGTTTATGTGTATACCCATGCCATTGAATGCATATTGAGTTGGAAATACAGTTCAGTTCAGTTCAGTTCAGTCGCTCAGTCGTGTCCGACTCTTTGCGACCCCATGAGTCATAGCATGCCAGGCCTCCCTGTCCATCACCAACTCCCGGAGTTTACTCAAACTCATGTCCAGCCAAAAAAGAAAAAAAAAAAAGTGATACTAAACAGTTGTTCAAATAAACTTTAAAAAATGTAATTTCAGAATTGACACAATGTATGCAACCTAATATGAATGGTTACTTCTTCACAGGAGGCTTTATGGAGACCGAAGCGGCAACCCAGGAGTCCCTGGGGTTGGGCAAACTGGGAACTCAAGCTGAGAAGGATAGAAGACTGAAGAAAAAGTAGGTTTGGAGATTTTATTTCCCCTTCTCTTTCTAACTTTTATTTACTTCCTATCATTGTTTGTGGGGAATTAAAAACATAGTAATTGGAAACAAAGCAGTAGACAGAGGCCAGTGTTATCCTGGTATTCCCTGAAACTCTTTGGTGCTCCAGTGTGATGGTTATAATCAGCTAACTATTCAACAGTTTTGGCCCCTAGTATAAATAAACAGTTTTTTTTTTTTTAAGAGATCAAAGCTTTTATTTCAAAACTCAAAGATATTTAAAATATTTAAATATAGCCTTATAAATAATGTAATATTCCATTTGAAGTTGAATTCAGTCCTAAACTGGTATGATAAAATGGAGATTATACCATCCAACTTTGTATTTCCTCTCATGACAATTAAAGAACCGCCTCTTAAAATGGAGTATTTAAAAGGAGACTGTTTCTCTGACTGATTGAATGTAAACTTATTTTAGAATCACAGCAGATTGTTTTGCATCTGTCAGGAAACTGATACTATATTTTTTCATTCACATATAATATGGAACATTTAAATGAACTTGCAAAATTGGCAATTTTGGAGTCTCAGCAGCTGTTAGACACAAGTGGGTCTATATATAACATATTTTTAAAATGCATAGTAACATTTTCAGTGATGAAATAGCACCTTTAGACCATGTTGTTTAAAATCCAAATACTTTCTCTTTATTACAGGATCTATTGGTTGGTTATTCCTTTTCTTCCCTCTCAAATATTTATTATGTTAGGCTTGTAATTTTCATATTTACCTTCTTTCCTATGAAAGTATGTTGATCATCCTAGTCATCGTTATAATTGACGTGCATGTCGCTATACTGTGCTAATTAATTTACCTCATATTTTCCCTTCTCACTTGCTTTGCAGATGTTTGCTAATAATGAAAAAAAATGTATTTAAAAGTTATAGAAGAATCCACTAGTATAACTGTTGCATTAACTTTCTACTTACTAAAATTAATTCTATATCTAAATTTAGTAGAAATGCTATATAGAAAAAAGAAGTGACCTTGAAAGCATTCTTTCTTGAATACAATTAAATGCTCAATCACATTCCATACTAATAAGTATTACCTTTTTAATTACTGGTCACTCAAAGTATATATTTAAATATTAAATTTATTTGAAGTCTAAAGGATTTCCAGTGTTATTTATTTGAGATTGCTTTAAGTCTAAAGTAGTAATAATAATCAAACCTTAGCCTGGTTAATGCACTTAGTTTATTTCCCTTAAAAGTTAATTCTCATTTCTTCCACAATGAAATATTTAAAAATAATGGCAATCTGGCCAGTTTTCATCTTACATATAAGGCGATATAGAGGCAATGCCTCCCATAATTCATTTGTTGTTTATAAGACCAAGTTAAATGTCAATTTTAACAGCTACTTAAGTTAAAAATTCCAATTATACCATGACTTAACAAAATCACAAATTTAGAGTCAAAGTTTAGGAATTGTTAAGTTTATACACTGTTAGATTGATTTGATATTAATCTTATAGAATTATTTCTTAAATCCTAAGTATCCTCACAGTAAGAAAATGATTGTAAGTTCTGGATTTGGTTTGAAGACCTTCCTGTCCTTGACTTCATTACTTCATTTTGAAGTACATTTTGGCAAATATAATTTTAAAATGTAGTACATAGAATCCTTGTCTTGAAGATCAAGAAGAATATTAAGAACAGACCATAATACAACAACGGCCAACATTCCTTAGCACAACTGTTTCCTATAGAATAATAGTATTTGAGTTAAAATGGATACAACAAGGCAAAGTGTTGCTAATTAGAGAGAAGACCGAAGCATCTCTCTTATTATTGACCATCTCATAGCAAAAGACCAACAAGCATAGATATTCAACCTGTATTTGTAAGACATATAAGGAAGTGCTAACACTTATCCGTGCCTTCTGCGGCGCCATGCCTGGGTTTCTGGGTTACTAAAGTCACATGTCCTCATGTAATGGGTTTTACAAGATAAGCAAGGTAAATTATTTTTAAATGATATAGTTTCAAACTTTACTTCTATCACATTTCTTATTACATGATTAAACTTTGGTCATGTTCTCAAATTTTCTGAAGCATTTAAAATTTTATTTAAACAATTCTGATGTTCTTTGTTTAAAAGACACTATATCCTCTTTAAATGTGCTTCAATGAATCATACTCTTCTGTGTTCAAATTTCATATATCTACTTTCAAGATGGAAAAAAAAATTCAAGTGCTTTTTTTTTAAGTGCACACACAAAAAAATGGAGAAAAAAATTTCAAATTTTTAAACACTATAGTCTGTACATACATGGTTGCAATGACTATGGTTTCCCATCAGTTGTTTTTCTACATTCTATCCAACGACCAAGCCAAATGATGTGTCCAGGACATAGTATTTATACTTATGATCACTTTACCAAAGTTCATATCAGAGATTCATTTCATTAGTCTCCCTGTGGAAATAGCCCAGCTGGAAAATCTTATTTTTAACTTTACTAAGATATCAGGTATCTCTGATTGACAATCTGTGAATTTAAATTTAATTGAGAGAAATCTTTAAATAAGTTACTTATGACACATTTTGAAAAACCATATGGGAGAGAAATCAGAGAGCAGCATTCAAGATATTCCAAATGCTTGTAAAGTTCAGAAATTTACAATGTTGGCAGTCCCAGACAAAGGTCTAATTTGAGGTACACTTACCATCCAGCAACTAAAGTCATATAGATTAAAACATCTTACTAGCTCTGGGTTCCTACTTTGTTCTGCTTTTGCTTTGCTTTCTGGTGCAGCCTTTTGTTTTTCTTCTATTTCTTGCTATTGTCCTATGATGAGAAATAGGAAATCAAGAATATGAGATCTGCCAAAGCATCCACTGTTTTAAAAATTCTTGAGTTGAGTATTATCTTCCTGAGTTGTATATTATCACACTGGTGCTATTCTTCCCTCAGAATAGCATCTAACCTGAAGGTCTAAAGTCAACCTATTGTTGTTCTGCCTGGTTCATTTTTATTACATCTTATCTTTATTATACTTTCCTTTAAAGCTTCAATTCCATAAATTTCCTCAGCAGGCTTACATGGAATACATGTAATATGTATGTCAAACTGAAACTCATCTTGTAGTTCTTTGAGCTGTTGTTGTTCAGTAGCTAAGATGTGTCTGACTCTTTGCAACCCCATGGACTGCAGCACGTCAGGCTTCCCCGTCCTTCACTATCTCCCAGAGTTTGCTCAAACTCATGTCCGTTGAATCCATGATGCCATCCAACCATCTCATCCTCTGTTCCCTTATTCTCTTGCCCTCAATCTTTCCCAGCATCAGGGTTTTTTCCAGTGAGTCAGCTCTTCACATCAGGTGGTCAAAGTATTGAAACTTCAGCTTCAGCATCAGTCCTTCCAATTAATACTCAGGGTACTTCACATTAATTTGTCTAGTCTTCCCCTTTAAAATTGGGCCAGCATTTCTGTAGCCTTGTGATATAGTTCTCCCAATCTTAAAAGATTGAGTCATTTATTATTTTCAATATGTTTCCATATTAAAATTGTGATTCTCCAGAGTTTTCTTAATGTGTCACTAATATCTGAGGTCTTTTCTATCATCCTTTGTTTGATTTCAACGGATGGCAAGCATCTTTTCTAATTTAATATCAATTGAATATCTTTGCATTCCTCAGACTAGACCTGAGAACTTCAATTCTTCCCTTTTATACCTTCCATCCCAACCATCAAGAACCTATTTCCCTTTCTTAACTCTCCAGCAAAAGTTTTAGACTAAACCCTAAACCTTCTTTCTCAGGATGGCCAGTTAAAGTCAACCACACAACTCTATAAAGTAACTGTACCTTTTAAAAGAAGCTACTGCAAGATCAAAAATGTACATGGCCTAGCTCACCAAAAACCTCAATTTATAAATATTCTTTGACTCCCTAACTCCCTGAACTTCACTTAGAATCTGGTTGTTGGTATTAATGTTTTAGTACCCAGTAAATAGAAGCTCTGTTCTTTGCCAAAGTTTAGAATTTATTTGCTGATAAACAGAGGAGTCAGACAACAAGAGATCAAAATGTCAGCTTTGTTACTGATGCGGCTGTTAGAACACGGCTTAGGTATATGGAAATAAAAGGAGGTTCCTAAAACTGAACCCCCAAGTTAAAGTCACTTGACAGAGAAAGAAAGAAATGCTAGTCACACATTTCCAGGATGTACAAGTGTAAGATCTATGTAGTGTAGTGAAGTCGCTCAGTCGTGTCCGCCTCTTTGTGATCCTTTGGACTGCAGCCTACCAGGCTCCTCCATCCATGGGATTTTCTTCTTAAAAATAGCATTTGCATCATTATGATGCCATAAATATGTTACACTAGAATCAATAGCTATGAACTCACCAAAAAAGAAATGAAATTTTGTCCTTAGCATCTTTGCCGAAAAAAGAGCTTTAGAGATATCCATTATATGTATTAATACTTCTTCAGATTTCTTATCCATTTTTTCCTCCTGGAACATATTTAGCTCCTAATTTCCCATATCACCATCTCTATAAATGTGTTGATAAGGTTTATGACGAACTTCCTATATCCTTAGAGATCTATAAATATATTTTATACCTAAATTAATTGAAAATTGTAAAAGTAGTAGTTTAAAATAATTTCTCCTCAAAGTTTTAAACATGCTATTCTTTTGGCTTCCACTTATGTCTAATATCAGTTGATTGTCATTGTTTCGTGGTATAACATATAGGATTTTCCCTTCTCTTTCCCTGAAAGCTTTATTTCTCACTTAATTCTGAGGTTCAGAAATGTCATAATATATTTATATTCAAATAATTTCTATGTTTCATTTTTCTACTTTATTCTTTCAATCTAAAGACTTGTTAGATTAGACTGTTTTACATATATTGACTTAAAAGATTTTTATTTCTAGGCTTAACTTCGATTCTAAGAAGCTTACTTTTACAGAGACTGACGAGATTAAAGAGCAGTTGTCTGCTTCA